ATGTTCTAACCTCTTCCTGTGAAAAATATGCTATTTAGGCTTCCAAATAATCTTTACCCACAAGTACACGTACTTCCTGATCGCGAAGACACGATGTTCTTATTTGCCAACAAAAAATCAATTCTTTATAATTACGAAACTAGAGAGACCATAGCCTTCCTTCCTGACATCCCTGGACCGCCTCGCTCATACCCGCTTACCGGTACATCAGTATTGCTTCCTCTGTCATACCGCAATAATTATAAACCTGAGATTCTGATATGTGGCGGAAGTCCTAAGACTGATTCAAAAGCGCCAGCGGCGAACAGTTGCGGAAGGATAGACCTCAGCAAAGACAAACCAGTATGGGATATGGACGACTTTGGCGGCATCGGAAGAGTTATGCCTGACAGTGTTATTCTACCAAATGCACAAATTGTTTTTATCAATGGAGCCAAAAAAGGTTTTGCTGGATATGTCAAAGCTAAAGGAACACGATTCGTAAACAGCGACCCAGTATTTACACCAGTTTTATACGACCCAGCGAAAGAAAAAAGCGATCGTTGGACGACTCTTGCGCCCAGCAAGATTGCTAGAATGTATCACTCCACGGCAACGCTCATATATGATGGAAGTATTTTCGTGGCCGGAAGCAATCCGCAGCCCGATTTTAATCCCAATTCACTCTTTCCGACAGAATATCGGGCCGAGAAATTTTACCCACCTTACTTTACTTCTTCTACTCCTCGACTCACAATCACATCCCTTCTCGGCGAAGATACATTATCGTACTCTGGAGTCCCAATAAAAATCAAGTATGATCAAACGTTGACTGTGACTACAAAGACATCGGATCCAGAGCCGGAGATATTTGCTTCGATAATTCACTTTGGCTTTGTTACGCATTCTACAAATATGGGCCAACGGTTCGTCGAATTAAATGTGGTGGGCATTAAGCCAACTAGAAACGAAAATGAGATTACAATCAAAGTGGAGAGCCCACCTAATGCCTACGTTATCGCTCCTGGACCAAGTTATCTGTTTCTGATGAACAAAGGTCGAGTCTGCGATGAAGCTGTACACGTTTCACTTGGATAACAGGAAGAGTCTTATTGCTTTTCTTTGAGAAATGGACTTTTTTTTTTTCGTAAATGGATTATTCCATTAACATTGTACAAATAATACAGCAAAGTGAGCCCAGATTTTGGCATTAATATAGTCGATTGATGATGTTAACTGGGCGAGCCTTTTCTGTTTATGTAGAAATTTATATAGACCCTGCATTTTTAACCTCAATTTCACGATTCAAGCATAATGTAACATTGGCATCTTTTTGAACGTTATACTTAATAAACTTATACAAGCATACTGAAATGAACCAAAAGATTGCGCGCGATGAGCAGACAGAAGGGAAGATGGTTTTTCTCGTGTTTATTCTGTTTAATGAGGATGAAAGACGCGAATCATGTGGTTGGGCTGATTTTAGTATGTGGCTAAAGTATCCGGTTATGGCAATAAAAGAGGTGAACGGGATTAATATATACACGATATCGTATGGGGCATGCTGCAACAAAACCAGATCTTTGGTTTGGTGGTGGCACAACCGTGGCTCGACATAAATTAACTGGCACACATGTGTTTAATATAGGATTATATTCATATGAAATTAATTTACATAAATCCACTATTAATTATGTGACATAAATGAGAGGCGGGCGTGGCTGAAAGTTAACTAATTTGACTAATGATTTTGGTTGTGACGATGGACCAATTGAATTATGACATTATAAATTATAACACATTTAATATAGGATTACGTCCATATAAAATTATACATATGAAATTAATTTATATAAAATTCACCATGGAACCAAAGAATTATAGCACTATTAGAAGCATTCTAAAAAAAGAACAGGGTGAAAAAGTTGCGCCACATACTGTATTTTTAAAATCAAACTCTCCAGGATTATCTTAGATAAAGAAAAAACCACCTATGAAATTTATTAAAAATAAAAACCAATAAATAAATTTATGATGAAACGAAAACTTGAAGAAACATAAAGCCAAAATCTAAATAATAATTTTTTTATCAGGAGTATTATGAGCTACCATTTGAAGAGCAAGTATCAGAGTTAAGAAGAGTCGGTCATCAAAATTTATCACACTCTTGCTCGTCATTCTTTGTTATTTCCAGAACTCTATATTCTAATCTCATATGATTTATTTATTCTTCTGAACTTTGGCTTTACTTACTAATTTTTTGAGTTGCATAATCTACTTTCTTTAAAGCTGGGAATTCTTTGGTTGCTAAATAATCTCTTCTGCTTATTTCTTGATCTTTGTTTAACAACCTATTTTCCAATCACTTTATTCGATCCATAAGCTTGTCCATTGCAGCATTGTGCTTTAACACTGTTTCAGACATTTGGCACAGCTTCTTCTCGCTCCATTTTCACTTGTCAGGATCGTGCCGTATTCCTCTGTGACTCTGTAACAAAGTAGACAGTTGTAGTTGTCTGAAATTGCGCAAGTGCAGATTAAGCGCAGAAGTATCAGCAAAATAATGACGAAATTCTTGACAAGCTATAATTAGCGGTTCTAATATATCGAAATTTCTTGACAATGCGAATACAATGCAAATCTCCTCATTTATCCTAAAATCTTGACAATTTAGTGAACCGATAATTAGTTATAAATACGAGTCGTAGTAAGTAGCTAAACAATCTCTAATCTGTTCTTTAGATCACATCTTCGGCAAGACGTTGCTATTAGATAGATTCTAATAAAGATATTTCGTTTATTCCCTGGTAAAAATACTTGCGTCGTTGGCAAAGTGTAAAACGCTTTTCCCGTCATCGGCGAATGTAAATGGGATTGATACTTGCCAATCGATTCTATTTAGTACTTTTGCATCAGGGTTATTGTTAATTTAACGTTAGTGTAGAGAGATAATTTCCCCGACCGATAGGCTCTGAGATTAATCCCATCAGAGAAATCGACGTGATACTCGAGGTTAAGCAATAATTCAGGGACAACGTATACAAGACCGATAATATACAGTTCGTGGGTATAAAACCTAGTTAAAGGACACTAATTGTCGTTAGTATTAGTTTGAAGTAGAAAAAGCAGAGACTTTTGTCGGAAAAGAACTAAATCTCAAGGCCAGTGCACCAGCTCGACACACTTCATCCTCTAATTCTTCTATCCTTGTTCTAATTCTTCTTTTTCTTCATAATTTCGTGCTTCATCACTGAAACTTCTCACAATATTTCAGGAGTGAATTCATTACTAAAACCAACTCTTCTAATGTCAATTTCATTCTTTTCTGGATAACTTACCCAACCCTTGTCAGGTCAAATAAATCTTTCTAAGGCTCTTAAAGTAGTACCAATCTTTCTGTAATATTGTGAACAGCATTTCAAATTCTTAGTTTAAAGTACTCTTCTTCATCTGCTAATTGTTTCTTTAACTTTTTGTTTTTTTCTAATAATTCTTCATTTCTCTGTCCGAGTTCTGTTGTTATTGTTATGTTTACCATGCTTTTCTATTTGTTTTTATTTATTCTGTTTATATACTTATGAAGGTATATGAAGTATATAATTGTTTTAAGCTTTAAATTAAAAGCGGGAAAAGCTAGCGAAAATTAGATGGAGAACTTAATGACAGCGAAAAAATTAACAAGCATTGAAATGATGGAAAGGATTAGTCTAAATGTTTTATTCGTTGCCAGTGTAGGTTGGCCTTGGACAAGTGAATTCGTCTCTAACAAGTGGGCAAATATTGTGATAAAGATATTCTTGTCTGTTATAATCCAAAGGAGGAGTAATCAGTATTAGCATTAGTATTGAAAGGGATTTGATTTCTTTGGTAATTTTAGAAAATTTGCTTTTCTGGTTTTTAATAAATTAAATTCCGTAAAAGCACCATTAGCAACCATCTGAGCTTGAAAATTCCAGGATTAGCTGCTTCAAATAGAAAATGCTGGTATTTTGCATGCCACTCAATTTCTTAAAAAAAAAATTAATCCTGGTACTAAATTGAGATCTAAGTACTGAAACCCTTTTCCATTTTCATAATGCTGAGCTTTATTTACTTCAGCTATACTCGATTTTTCACAGCTCAACAATATGTTCCACACAATCTTTCTAATCAATCCAAAACTACCATCACACTTGAATTTAGTATGTCCAGGTACGTGCCATGAAATTCAATTCAATACTTTCATAATAACCGCAAATTATTAAATATAAATATAATCAAATGGTAGCATTATTTTTATTCTGTCCACCCGCATTGTCGCAAGTGATCTTTAAATACTTTTCACCTTTATTCAATTTCTTAATTCCATCGAATACCATGCTCAGTGTATTAGGACCTTTGCCAATTATTTCATCTTCATCGAGAACATAATTAATTTGTTCGCGTACTGCTTCATTTTGAATACCAAATAAATGTATTTTACGCGGACTGAGATAATAAATTTACTTACCTGTTTATTGGAATGCATTTTGTGCTCAATCGTAATTGTAATGAGCAGTCGTGTCAGCGCTACAATAATCAGCTTTACAAAATGCGTATCTACCAATTTTCTCTGCTGTTCTGCTAATTTTGTATTTTGGTTGTAACAATTTCTCTCCTAATTTAGCCTTAACTAAATGTTCTTTGTACTTTTAGTAAATCTTCCGCTTCCGTCTTCCTTACGAGCATTATACTGTAAGCCGTTCCGAAAATGTTGGCACGTGTCACATAAATCCGTTCTTGGACTCACGATTTGCGTTAATTGGTGCCATAACAATTTCAACGTGCTATCGTTTTCGAGACCTGCAATAAAATTACGATAGACCGATTTTCGGCCGGGACTTGGTAATCCGTGTATTTCAGCATAGTCTTCTTCACGGCGGTAGCAACGGTTTATTTTGGTTTTCCATCGTGGTACTCGTTTGATGTTACCGTGAATGCGCGGCATTATACCATTTTGTTCAATTTTACAGAGAAAAAATTTCTAGCTACTGGTCCACATAATGAGGGTGAAACTATCGCTCAAGAAGTGGGTTGCTGTTAGAACTAAGCCAGGGACCCCATTCGTCCGTGGAGCTTGGATTTCCAAACAGTTCCAGAACGACCGCTTCCCAATGCATTGCCAAAGAAAAACTGACAACGGTATCAGCGGTTTTCTTCGCGAGGCGGCTGCGCTCCCTCACCGTGACAATAGAGCTCTGTAGCGTCGATGCTTAGTGATGAGGCCACCGACTTAGCCAACTTTATTATACTACTTAAGAATTCTGTCTCTAAGGTCAGACATTGTCGTAACTAATTCTTTCTTGCTAGACGAATGATTTTACTATCGCTAGACGAATGATTTTGCGTTGACTATTATCTTTCATGATTCGTGTTTCGTAGTACTCTCGTTCGCAGACTTACAT